AGCTACTACGGAGGCGGCACCAGCCAGGGCCATATAGTGCGCGACGGGCCTGGGACTAGGCACAGCACGGGGCGCCCATCCACACAGACACAGTCACGTTGCTGATATCCATCCGAGCAGGTTCGTTTGGATGACGTGGCCGCTCAAACAAAACCAAGGCTGCCTGAATAAACCACCAGAAACTAATCCGACCCCCTGGGCCCGCGTGGCCTCAGACATCCCGGCCTTGCCAGTCAAAGTCCCAATGATTGATTGCTACTGCGCGCCGCCCTGGAACATGGCGGCTGGCAGCTCAGACATCAGGCAGCCGCCCTCCACGACGAGCCCACGGCGTGTCGTGATGCTCCGTCCGCGCCCGCGCCTCCATGACGCACCGCTTGAGTCGGCTACACGCAAGAGTGACCTTGCGTAAGAGTGACCTTTGGTGCGCGGCGTTTGGGGGGCCGCGGGGGGACCAAGCTGAGGCGCGCAAGACGCTACTATCGCATCGCAATCGGTGATCGGGGGACCCCATCGTGCCCGCACCAAAGGTCACTCCGGCGAAAGGTCACTCTTACGTGCAGTCGATTGAGCACGGCGTCGCGACGCCTTGGACCTCGAGCTTTGACCTCCAGGACCCCGCGCCCATCCAGCAGGCTGGGCGATGCGCCGCCGCCGCCGCCCGCGGCGGGGCCCAGGGATCTCGGAGCGAGCTCCTCGGCCGACACCCGGCGCTGCAGCGCCGCGCCCCTTGCCGGCCACGCGCAGACAGGGGCGCGGGAGGGGGGGACGCTTCTTAGCAGCACCCCCGCTGTCAGAAGGCGCGGGCCCGATCTGTAGATGCGGGGCCGGCGCCTCTTTCAGAAGCGGCCTCCTTCCAAGAAGCCTTCCCCCCTCCCCCTGCCCCCTCGTCCGCGCCGCCAGGCAAAGGCGGCGGAAAAGAGGGGGGTCCAAAGCTCCGATGTTTTCATGTCTGGCATGCAGAGTCCTCAGACGTCTCGATCGTCTCCCCGGGGCCAGATTCCTCCTCCTCCTTCCCCTCCCCCTCCTCCCCCTCCTCCTCCTCCTCCTCCTCCTCCTCCTCCTCCTCCTCCTCCTCCTCCTCCTCCTCCTCCTCCTCCTCCTCCTCCGCAAGGCGCCGAGCAGGAAGTCCGCGAGCGGGCGGGCGAGGCACGGCCCGATGAAGGGAGGCATCCTCGAGAGGAGGCGCCCGCAGGGCCCGCAGAAGCCCCCGGCGGCGCGCTCGCGGGCGGACGGCGGGTCTGGCACTGCTGCCCCCAGGGATGGGAAGGCGGACCCCCGGCGGACGCCGCCCGGCTGTCCACAGCCTCAGGCCGTGCCATTACCAGCCTCGAACGTATCCCTATCCCTAAGATCGACACGCCAAAAGGCGATGACAATCTTAGGGATTCGCCCTCAAAAAATAAGGGGATCCCTAAGATCGCCATCGTGACGAGGCGATGCCCAGCATAGGGATAGGGATATGTTCTAGGCTGGTAAGTGCTAATAGCGGCTGTCCACAAGCTCCAGCGCTGCCAGGAGCAGCCCGGACACGACCCGCTCGGCCCTCCCCGCCTCCTCCAGCGGGTCTGCCGCCGTGCCGGTTAACCGTGCTCCGCCGTGATCCTCCCGCGAACGGCGGCCTCGCGCTCGCGACCCTCCCGCGGACGTGCTTCCAGATAGTGAGTGCACCAGCATCCTCCGCGCCGTTTCCACCGCGTCGGGGTGAACAGCGATGTTGCTCCCATCGTACTTCCTACATCCCAGAAATCATTCCGAGCACCCAGAAAGCATCGAAGCAGTGTCCAACGAGTGTCGCCTCCCAGGGCCCGACACGCGAAGGCCCCCAGGTCTCGGTACCTTTCCTTGGTGCTCGAAATTCTTCCTGGGTAGGCTGGAACAGTATAAGGCCAGAAGCTCGCTCGACCCAAGGGTGGGGCAGTGCAGAGGGGGGTCACCACTAGGGGGGTCGCCACTTCCTCGAGGAAACGCCACTTCCTCGAGACTTCCTCGAGGAACTGGGCCCCCCAGAGCCCCGAAAACGCAAAGAAACGTCCAAGAACGTCCTCGACCCCTCGACTCTCCATCCTGGAACCTCGATTTCCAGGAGAAGCTGGCGACCCCCCCAGTGGTGACCCCCCTTGGCACTGCCTGAAAGGGGGCGCTGGCCGAGTCGCCGGGCGTGGCGCCCACAGCCGGGCAGAACACGAGGCCCCTGCTGCGGGGCGCCACGGCGGCAGCAAAAGCTCGCCGACCCCGGCGGAGAGCCGGAGAGCTCACGCCATGGGCCCAGCGGGGGCGGAGAGGTCGGCAGGACAGGCGCTTCTCTCGCCCGTAAGCCCTTCTTTCGAAGGGCTTGGGCGACCCGTCCTCCTCCTCCTCCTCCTCCTCCTCCTCCTCCTCCACCACCTCCTCCTCCACCTCGTCCTCCTGCACCTCCTCCTCCTCCTCCTCCTCCTCCTCCTCCTCCTCCTCCTCCTCCTCCTCCTCCTCCTCCTCCTCCTCCTCCTGCTCCGACGAG